GAATGTTATGATGTCAAATAAACTGAATAATAACACTGAAGATTTTTCTATGTCTTTCCTACACTTAAAATTAGACCATCTCATAACAAACAAATGGAAAGGGAAGACAAAAATAAAAATAAATTGGTATTTGTATGCATCTAATTATTCTAAATCTTTCACAATTATTTCCCCAATCCTTTCCAATATTTCCTTTCCTAGCTTTTCAGAGTCTAAAATTGATATATAGGTAAACAATTTGAATAAGAATATAACCTTAGATTTTAAAATGTTTTTCCCCATAGTTGAGACCTAATTCAAAGAAATGAAAAAGTTTCACTGCAGAAAATTTTCTTCAAAGGATATTTGATAATCACAAAGCAATATACCACCAAAACTGGATAACAATAACCCCTCCAAAAAACTACTGACTGAAATTCTGAGATCACAATTAGGAAACATAAAGTGAAATATGTAAAATAATGCTGTAAAGCAACTTTCCTTCACCTGATATTCTCCAGATGTGTTGGATTACAACTTCCATAATTCCAATAAACATAGCCACTGTTAATTCTGGAAAATAATGCCCAACCCATCTGGGGACATCATGTTGGGAAAGACTACTGAAATTTGAAAAAAGGAGTTGGGTAACCAAGTAAGCTATGAAAAAAAACGTTTTCCTTCAACTAAAAGAGAGTTTCAAAATTGTTCCCTTTTTGAGAAGGCAAGTGTTTTCCTGTTAGACTAGAAATACATTTATGCTGATAATTCAGCTGCAGTCAATTAGTGGAAAAATGGAAAACACAACATGTTGGAAGCCATTTTGTTTGTTCTCAGAAACTAATAATTATAAGTATGCTGGCCTAGAACACATAGATTCAGCTTTATTTCTTTTAGCTAATAGTCCCTCAATCTAGAAGAGATTTAAAGTGTATTTTATAATTTATTGCTTAGCTATTATTGCAAAGAAGGGCAGGAACTTAAGCGGGAAAAGCGGTCACTATATTTTGCAAGATCCAAAATTAGTATTCAGGCTGATGTAACTGATACATGGGTGAAGTTGTCCCTTCAAAATTTCCTTTCATAAGCAGCAATATATTTGTACAATGAAAAGTATCTTAATTCTATTGACATTCTTAATTCTATCACAACAGAGTGCGGCAGATTTGTTTGTTACTCAGCTGAATCCCCTCTTAACTTGAAAATGTCTGTGAAATAATAGAAGAGTTAAAAGTATAATATAAAAGTATGTTAAGCTTATTTCACTGTCTATAAACTGTCTATAAAATTCACTGTCTATAAAATTGAACATAGAATGGGGCAATCATAAGCCTATGAGTATTACTAAGTGTGGCAGCTGATTATTCTTGACTCTTGACAAATATCTTTTCTTTTATGTACACTGAAAGCATTTGCACCAAGACAAATTCCTTGTGTGTCCAATCACACTTGGCCAATAAAGAATTCTATTGTACACTGTACAATATATACTGCAAAAAGAATTCACTTCTTGGCTTTCACTACACCTGTGCAGAATAGATGGCATTTATTATATCTTTATTCATTAGATGTTAGAGAAGGGGAACTAGAATAATTAGAGCTTCACTGTGAGAAATTTTTATTCTCTGCAGATAGTGTCAATTAAAATTGCCTTGAATTGGACTCAAGCATTAAAGATAAGTCACAGGAAGGTAAGAATAGTAATCTTTTATGATGTAAAAATAGATTATTTGCATCATGAAGAACTTGAGAAGACAGACAGAATATGTGTAAAGACCACTAACTGCTTGTTTGATCCCTCCCCCTCCCAGTTGATTAGATAAAAATAGGACAGGATTAGTTTCATAGTTTATGGGAGTGAGCGGCCACAATAAATTTAGAATAAAAACAATAACAGTGCACTGGAGAATCTGCAATAAAAGTATCACTTGTCTACAAACAAGAATTGGTGGGACCACAAAGTAGGCAAAATAACAGAAAATGAAGAAGCTAAAATGCTCTAGGGATTTAGAATTTAAACAGACAAGTAGGTGCCACATAATACCGCGGACTTGACAATTGTTGATAAGAAAGACAAAAAAGTTTGGATAGTGGAACTGACAGTAACTAGAGAAAGCCGAATAGAAGAGAAAGAAATGAGAACATAACAAAATACAAAGACCTGTAAATAAACGTATAGCCGCAGTGTTAAAAGAAAGTAAATATAGTACCAATAGTAATAGGTGGCCTGGAGTGCAATCCCAAAACAACTTTAACACCAATATCAGTGGCAAATCATCAGTCAATTGTAAAAAGCAGCTTTAATAAAAATAGCTTACAACCTATGATGATACCATTAACAGCATCAAACAACTTCTGCCTATCCCAAGTCCTTTGGAAGGACTCAGTAGGATAAAATGCCAAATGCAATCTAAACATCTGGCTGTCTATGACAAAACATCATCATCATCAGTTGCCCATAGTCATTCGCTAGCGAGATGGGTAGCATTTAAATTTAATAAATAAAAACATCACAATGAAGAGATTTGAGTGAATCACTTTATATCAATAAAAATATAGTCTGACCAAATGTATAAGTTAAAAAAAAACCAAGAATAATAAATTTGCAATAATTTTCCAAAATCAACTTCACAGCTTAATTTTTTATATGAAACAGGAGAGGACAGTTTATATATCTTGATATAACTTCCTATGATTTTGGTTTCATCCAGAAAATGTTCTAAATTATCCAAAAAAAAATCCTTAAAATTTAAACCTTAATCTATTTATTTTCCATAAGCATTGAATAGCAAAATTTAATGCCATAATTGCATAAAGAACAAGAAATAGGCTTACTAAAACATACAGGGATGAACTAAATAATCCACTCATTTAAAAATGTCAGTGATGCTTTTCAAGAAAGTGCAATGCATTATTTTTGGTATTTTTACTATTTTTCTCTTACTGTTAGTAATGTTCCATTAAGAGGTTTTGCAAAGTGTCCATCAAATTGATTTAAAAACAGTAATTCCCTGTTGTATATAAATGCTGTACATAAAAATTTGAGAACCCATTTATTAAAAATACTCACTTCTACCACAATTATCAAAAAATTAATATTATATTAAGGACAATCTTTCTTCCTCAGAAACAGTAAGACATATAAAGCCACACAGGAAAATAAAAGCTATACCACATAATAATCCAAACATTACTATCATGTGAACAAGCCTACAAAATGGATAAGTAGAAAAGTTATGATGAACCTCAATCACACACTGCAAGTATTAGAATATTTTCCAAATATTTTAAACTACATTTGAGGTTAATGGGAGCTGAAGTCCAAAACTTCTGTAGAAGACTGCTAACCCATAGTATACATTTGGATGAAGAATGGGATATATTAGAATAGCTGATCCAGATGTGTAACTGTATTATAGAAACAGAACAAAAAGAAACTAAATACTACTAATGTAAGGTTAAGTGAAAAGAAAAGCATTCACATCAAGATCAAGGAAGGATGTTTGAGAAAATGAGGATGGAAGTTCTAGTAAAGAAAAAGTGAATTAACTAAAAAGACAGACTAAAGAACTAAAGAACTGGTAGGTAAAAAAGGAGACTTAAAATTGGCATGTCACTGACAAAAGAAGAAATTAAAAGGCAGAACAGACAGGCAAATGTGAGGATATTATGATGACCTAAGAGTATTATGGAATATTTGGAAGTCATAAATATGAAATACAACTATAAAGATCAATAACAAGATAGATACAAGTAAATTGAGACTTTTATTTATGAAAGACGGTTTTGAAATGCAGAATTTAACAGGTGGATGGATAAGGAAGGTTACAGGCGAATACAAACGAAAACAAACGGATGCTTTTAACAATTTAAACTTTACATTTTAAAGTGAGGGCCCTGAGGAGAAGCAGGAAAAATTTCTCTACTGATCTGGACACCTTTATCGGAAGAAAAAGTCCCAAACGGCAAGGGACGAGGCTCATTTCCAACTTAACTGCAACTGATTAACTTGGGCTGCACAAAGTTGCAATTCTATATACGTTTTCTTGGGCTTTTCTAAAGATCTCATATATACTAACTACATAAAGAGCAACGGTTCCTGCCCTTTCAAGGAAAGCAACTATGAGGTAAATGTGAGCAGTGATTACAACCAAGGAGAGGCGTCGGTTCTTCTTCCAGGTTAATCAACACGGAACCATGTGGGCGTGATCGTATGGAGAGGGAAGAGGAAAGGCGGGCAGAGATCACGAGTCTGGATCGTCCTGTCCAGTCCAACGCACACAGGTGGCGATCCTTCGGAATGAGAGGGGGCCCCCCCAGTACTCAGGGACGAGGAAGAATCGGGCCAAGTCAAGGCCCACTGTAAAATAATCTGCACGAGTTGAGGGTGTGACAGAACAGGCCTCCCCGTTACCTTCTACCGACGACAAGGGACTCAAAAATCCTCTCACCTGACGGCTCTGCCCGGGTTGTGGAGGGGGGAAGGGGAGCGACAGGGGCGACCGCTAAACCAACCACAGCACCTCCGCGCGCAAGCGCGGAGCACACGCATAGACACACACAAACTCCCTCGCCGTCGGACACCCTGTGTTTGCCCTCATTCGCCTTTTGCTCCGCCCTCCCCTTCCAGCCCACGAATTGCGTCGCGGCCATTGGTTTCCAGTCCTCTCCGTAAGACAGCTGACCAATCCAGTAAGCCGCTCCCTAGCCACGCTCGCCTATTGCAGGACTGGGCGTGTAAGGAGAGGAAAAAGAAGCAGGCGAAAATATCTAGCGGGGAGGCGGGATAATAAATTTTGATTGGCGGGAAAACGAAAGTAACTCATTTCCCCCCTTCTCCCCCGCCATTCTTCTTACAAATCATTGGCTAAAGCCAACGCCTACTTTTTCTATTATGGGTTTCCCCATTGGTCAACCACTCTGAAATGTTTTACAGAAATGGCAGATCTTGTCTCGCGCGTAGGCGGGGTTTACCGGGGGAGGGGTGGTCAGTAGAAACAGCGGAGCTTTCATTCGCTGCTTGTATCAATGCGCTTTCTGAGGCGGCGTCATCAAGTCTCTTTACCTTGCGCGCGCCGACGCAATAACGTCAGCAACGACTTTGATTGGGTTTTCGCAAGATGGCGTCGCGCAAGGGCTGAGGTGGGTGGTTTGCTGTTTTCGGGTTCCGTTGTACCCGTACCCCGTAAGTGGTTCCATCAATATTACGTGACTGACGGAAAGAAGCTGCATGATTGAAACTATCAAAGTGACAAAGATGCTGAGGTTGAAATGTAGGAAGTCTTTGATGAACTAATGGCAGCGGCTCCGGTGAAGGATGGATAAAAATTCGTTTTAAATGAAGGGGCAGAAAGAAATGTTTCTACTTTCCAAGAGCCCTTCTGGAAAGTTACAGCCCAACTTTCAAATACGAAGGCAGCAGTTCGGGAATTATTGTTAAATGGGCCGTAAACAAACTTTTTTAAAAGAATAAGTAAATACGGTCTTTCTTGATAAGTTTATTAAATAAGTAAACCTGACTTGACAGTGAAATGTGTGCGCGTTTATCCAGGATATAAAATGAATAAAATGGGAAGTGTTTGCCTAGTAATTGATACTAGATAATTTTTGAGAGTTTGGCTTTAATATGGGCCAAACTTATAGAATTGTAAAGCAGTTCATGGGAGGGCTATTTTAGTGTGCTGCTCTTTGGAAAGTGGAGGCAATCTGCTATTTTCAGGTCAATATAACATGAGAATGGAGCTTGTTTCAAGCATTGTATACAAGTGGCTAGTTTGATTTTGATGAGCCTAGTATATGAACCTTATATTACATTTCTTGGATTTTATGTAGTTACTGGATCAGAGTTACCTAATTTAGGATTCAAATTTACCACTTTTTAAATTAGCTCCTAAGTAAGTATTGGGAGAAATATCCTTCTGGGTTCAGTTCCAAGTGGGTTAAAATGGCACTGGAATCAAAGAGGTTGCTTGGAAAGAAGATTTATTGATGAACAGGATCATATGCCTTGGAGCTCCTGGGAGAAAAGGGAAGAGATGCTGAGAGTCCCTGGATTTTATGCCCTGTTGGGATTTGAATTTGAGCTTGTATTCTGATTGGTTGTCAAACTCCCATGGGGCCATGCAGGGGCAACTCTGTAGGCTATCCTGAATCTCAGGCTTGGTTGAGCCTTGCTGAGTGATGATGTAATGAAAGGGCTTAGGGCAATTCCTATTATGGCTCTGCTTGAAGGAGGTAGATCTTTGTTATGTAGAATACTCTGAGCAGGCCTTAATGGCTCATTAGCAAAGGTGTGTGTGTGAGGGGGTAAGTTTCTGCCTCTGAGTTTCTACTTCTCTTTTAGGGGAAATATTCTGCCTTTTTAGTACATCCTAAAATATTTCATTTTTCTAGGAAGGGATGGTTATAACTTCCAACATAAGATTTAACATTGATTTGTTACAGTTACATATATTTATTAGATTAGCATCAACCTTTTCTTCAGGAATTCAAGATTCCTAAATGGTGATTTTCCTTGATTTTTAATCCTCATAGAAAGCTGTAAGATAGTTTTGTCTGAGATAGAATTGTCACTCAGTGTATCATGACCAAGGATTGACTTAATCCTGGATGATTCAGGACCAATACTTAACCACTATACTGACCTTGTAGGGCATTTTGATTGGTATTTTGTTGTATGCTGTGAAAATTTCACTTTGCTGACTTCTGCATAGCAAAACTGTAAAGAACAAACTGAGTCTCAATTCATTTGGCTGTTTGGTAACTTGAGTAGTAGTTAGAAAATCCTACCTTGTTGGAAACTTAGTTGATCATGTAGCTCACTGTCAATATAACTTAAGGAAATGGCCTGTGAATGATTTCTGTAACCATAGCAGGTCAGGTGTCCTCCGAAACAATGGTACTATTTGTTGCTATCTATCTTGAGAGATTGAAGAGCAATGAAAAGGCAATTGGGTGACTGAGCCAGTCACTTTCTCTCAGTCTAATTCAGTTCACAGGATTATTGAAGGGAAAATAGAAAGCTGGAGAATTAGGTAGGTTCTGGAGACTAAGATATGTTTGCTGCCTCATGTTATTTATAAAATGGGGGGGGGACATTTTTTTAAAGGCGTAATAAACTTTAAATAATAAATGAATAAAAATGGAAGAAATAAGATTAGAACATTAAAAATGCTTACTAAATTCATGGATTCTAGGAATTAGAAAGTAGCATATAAAAATGCCTGAAAACGTGTTGGGTTTTGAATTAGAGCCTCATTGATCAAGATTTATTTTTTCCATAGGTTCTAAAGTCTCATGAAAAACAAAACATTGAAAACCTGTCTTACTAAAATTATTCTGTGTTGATAAATGAAGGAAAACAAAGAAAACTCTAGTCCCTCTGTATCTTTGGCAAACCTGGACCACACAAAACCATGTTGGTATTGGGATAAGAAGGATTTGGCACATACACCATCACAGCTAGAGGGACTTGATCCAGCTACTGAGGCAAGATACAGAAGAGAAGGTGCCCGGTTTATATTTGATGTAGGAACCCGTTTGGGATTGTATCCTTTTAAGATTATCTATGGTATAGTATGTAGGATTAAGATTTCATAATATATATTTTACTTGATGCTCAAATAATAGTGTTTTCACAGAAATGTTAAGTTTTAATTTGTTGGTAAAAATATTTTTTTCAATAACAAAATCTTAATTTAATTTACAATTTCTTACTGTTTGCAGTCTATAATTCTCTAACTAGTTTAACCCAGTGTCTTATGCCAATCAAATAATGTAACTCCTGGAACATGATTTTCTTAGCATTTCTGTATTTTTGCTCAAATGCTAAACTTGGGTTGATTTTAATAATTAAATAGTAATGTTATTGATCTGTTGAACTGTATTTATGCAAAGTAGTTAGTCATATTTTATATGTCGTTACTTATGATGTATACAACTAATTTAGGAATGTATTCTCAAACACCCGAGCTTGTAATTTGATTTCAGTGTGCTATTTTTATCCATTAATTTTCCTTGTGATAAGATAGGCGGCCAATAAATTTAATAAATAAATGATTTTAGTTACTTCATAACAATTCCATGCTATTATTTTTATGACTTTGTGTAAGTGCCTGGACTAATCCCTGCAGTTTTCTTTGGCAAGATTTCAGAAGTGGTTTGCCATTGGCTTCTTCCTATAGCTGCCTAAGTCCAAGATCACTCAGCTGCTTTCATGCCTAAGGCAAAACTAGATCTCACAGTCTCCCAGTTTTTAGCCAGGTTCTTTAATCAGAACACCTGACTTGCTCTCTTTGGTCTGTTATTCAGTTTTATTCATTTATAATATTTATAGTTGAAATTGAGCTAAATATGTTACTTTCCTATCCTGTATTCAGACATTATGATACACTGGCAACTGGAATAATATATTTCCATCGGTTTTATATGTTCCATTCCTTCAAACAATTCCCAAGATATGTAAGTGCTTACATTGCTTTTGGTTTACAGTATGTAATTGCTGTCTAATGCCTCACAAAAAATAATAATAAAAATAACTGAACCAAAAAAATACAGCCCTGAAATAAAATACATTGCAGGAATCTAAAGGACTTGGAGGCAGAAATAAAGGGAGAGGAATATGCAATTATTTATTTGCATATTGTTTATTGTAGCTCCTGTAGGATTTAAAACGCATTGCGGAGAAGGTAGATTAGCATTTAAGAATTTTGTATAATCCCTATTTTGAATATGTTAATGCATACCATCTGAATCAGGTCTCCAGTATATATACAAAACAGTAGTATGTCTTGCTTTTCCCAGAGAAGATTGGTTTTGTAAATCAAAAACAAATGCAACTTTAGGGTTAGGGGTTAGGGTTGGGATTAACATTAGAGTAAAATAATATAGAAATAATATAACAAATGAATCTTAGCTATTTGATTCTTGTTTAGTTTATTAGGTCTTACTGGCAGAAATAATTAGACCAAGTTATGGTCACCAATATCAAATATATAGGCCTTGTGTGCTTTAATGGCTTTCTAAAATATATTTTTAATAGGTGACTGGAGCTTGCTGCCTATTCTTAGCAGGAAAAGTTGAAGAAACACCCAAAAAATGTAAAGATATCATCAAAACAGCTCGTAGTTTACTAAATGATGTTCAGTTTGGGCAGTTTGGAGATGATCCAAAGGTAAACTCAGATGTGCTAAAGATTCTCTGACTTAAATTTGTCATGGTACAATCCAAGTAACATCTAGCTGTTTATGTAGATTTTGGTAGTGTTTATAGAATACAATACAGGTAATCCTTGACTTACGACCATGCATTCAATGATAGTTCAAAGTTATGATGGTGCTGAAAAAGAAGACTTATGATCTGTCTTTGATGTTATGACCGTCATACTACCTCTGTGATCACATGATTGTTTTGGATGCTTGGCAATTGGCTTGCATGTACAATGGTTTCAGCATCTTGCAGTCAAGTGATTACGACTTGCAAGCTTGCCAGTCACTTTCAAACAAATAAAGTCAATAGGGGAAGCTGGATGTGATTTGCTTAATTATTGCAGTAAAAGTTATAAATGTCACAGTATAGAAGTACTTTTAATAAATAAAAAGAGTCCAATCATGTGATTACTTGCTTAACTACCACATTGCTTAGTGGCTGAAATTCCAATCCTAATTGTGGTTATAAGTCAAGGACTACCTGTAAATAAAACTAGAAGTAAGCTTCTATCACCAAATACTTGATTTTTTTCTATATAAAAATTGGCAATTTATTAATAATTGAAATATATTTCATTGGCTTGATTAATTTAGCTAGTAATTTCAACATGTTATTTTCAAAGGCAATCTGTATTGCAGTGCTTGTGTTGTTCTCCTGTTGCATTTGCCTGTCTTTTCAGCAAAGAAATAACCCACTGCACAAGGGAAGCAGTGAAACTGGCCACACAGAGTGCAGCCATATGCATACAGTAAGCAAACTGGAAAAAATCAACATTTGTCACATTTCTTGTTAAAGTATCTTAGCCACAAAGTCTTCCAATAGCTCAGTAGGAGGTTTTGTTTAATACAGTAATTTATGTTTGAAGGTCCTGAAAGTTAAAATAGATACAATTCTTTACTGGCTTGTTTCTACATAGTTTTTTTTTTTAAAGTTTGTATGTCTCTAGAGAATTACATCATATGTAATTTTTGATTGTTTTGTGATTAATGTCCAGTAAAATTTACGTTGGTTGTCTATAACTTAGGCTGAAAAATTCAGCTAATCTTTTGGTACATAGCTAACAAGTGTGAAAGAAAGTATTTCCTTAATTGACTTTATGGAGATAGTGTCTTTTGTGAATCTGTTTCACCTATTTTCTGTTAGGGATTAGATTTCTTGTTAACTTCTTAAAGCAAAATCCTCACTTATTATCACAGAATAGTGGTAAAATATTGCTAATCTCTCACGTTTTGTAGTGGCTGATGTTTTAAGTGAGAACAAACAAAAAAGCTATCCACATAAACTAACAGGGGGAAAAATCCTCAAAGCTGTATTGTTGCATCTTTATTATAGAACATTTAGTTCTGTTATTGCCTGGCAACTGTTTTCTTTCTAGTAATTAACATTTGACTGTCCATTTAGGCGGTTTCACTATTCTGCCACAAATATGCCCCCTATCCCATGTGATTGTGATTGTTAAATCAGTAGCTGAATTTAACATTTGAACATAATGCAATGTTAGTGAAGAACAGTAAATCTTAACTACAAAAAACCCCCAACTAATTTATTGACAACAGTTGCTGATAGTCTTATTGGGAATGTGGCAGGATAGAAATACATTTAATAAATAAAAAGAAGTGGTAATTTATACCTCTTCTTCCTCTGCTTCCCTGTTTTGTCCTTTTTGACATTCCACCAAGTTCTGGAAACAGATAGGCAAGAATTATTCTTGATGAAAGTTGCTGTATAATCACAAAATTCAAGTGCCTTTATGTACTTTTGTTTAAGTGCTATGGGGATTTTTTTAAAGAATTAAAAATGTAAGATTACCTTCATAAGCAACTGCAAATATTGCTTCCCTTAGCATTATTTATTTATTTAGAAAATGTATATTGTTGCCTACTCGCAGATGGCTACTCAAAGCAGCTTACAAGAATATGAAAACACCATATAAAAGAAATAAAAAGAATAAAAAGAAAGATAATAAAATAATAACCACCCCACCTCTGGTGAGAACACAAATTCATACTAGCCATTTAATTGGTTGCATCCTGCTCTGAGTTCCCCAGGTCCACTGGCAGAACTACATCTTCAGGGTCCTCCAAAAGAGTGGAGGACAGTCTAATCTCTGCGGGATGATGTTTCAGAGAGAAGAAGCCACCATGGAGAAGGCTCTTCTGGATCCCACCAGATGTATCTCGTTAGGTTAGGTGATGGGATCTACAACATTTCTTGCCTCCCTGCTCTAGTGGATCGGGTCGATGTGACCAGCAGGAGATGGTCCCTCAGATAGCCTGGTCCCAAGCCATTAAGGCTTTAACAATGACAATCAGCACCTTGAATTGCACCCAGAAGCAAATTGGCAACCAATGCAGTTCCCGCAGAAATGATACATGTGCATACCAAAGTCTGCACAAAACCATGTGGGCTGCTGCATTTTGCAGAAACTGGAGCTTTTTCAGGGGCAGCCCCATGTAGAGTGTGCTGCAATAGTTAAGATGGGAGGTGACTAGGGTATGAGTGACCATGAGTAGGGATTGTTGGTCCAGGAAAGGAAGTAATTGGCACACAACCTGCAGTTGCACAAAGGCCCTCCTGGCCACAACTACCACCTGCTCTTTGAGTAGGAGTTGCGAGTCCAGGAGTACCCCCAGATTATGCACATGGTCTGTTTGGGGCAGTGCCCCCCATCCATTATTGCATAATGTTAGCTTTAATAATCAAACTAATGAATACAGGTATGCAAAATATTTTAAATTCAAAATATCTTGAATACATAATGACTGTACTGACTAATAAAATAAATTGAGCTCAAAGCATTGTGTGCACTCAATGAATTTACATTTGCTCTCTTTTGATATTAGGAAGAAGTTATGGTTTTAGAGAGAATCTTGCTGCAAACAATAAAATTTGACTTGCAAGTCGAGCACCCTTATCAGTTCCTACTTAAATATGCAAAGCAGCTCAAAGGTATAATCATTTTATTTCAATACATGTTAATAAATCCTTGTTACATGTAGTCCTTAATTTATGACTGGTTACTTAATGATAATTCAGAGTTACAATAGAGTCAGGAAAGATTACTTGTGACCTGTCCTTGAAGATACAATTCTACTCCACCCACCCTGCATGGTCACATGATCACAATTCTGATGCCTGGCAATCATGTTGAACTTGTGACTATTTGCCAAGTGCTGATCTGTGGAATGCAAAAAAATTTCCCCCATCCAGTGCTGTTTCCCCCTCCCTTGTTTGCACAGAAGGGAACTCAGGCATTGGGCTGGAGAAAAGAATCTTGCATCCAAAAATCCATTTCCAGCCTTTTTGCCATTCAGAAACATTGAGTTTGCTAGCTTTCTAGCCAGAAAATGTAGTGTTTCTGAAGGGTAGAACAGTTAATACATGGAGGGGAGGCGAGGGAAACAGAGAAGTTGGAGAGATGAAGCTCAGATCCTGAATATCCAAGTTTTCTGTCTCTGACTTGTCTCTGTTTCTGTCTCTGTTCTTGTCTGCGTACCGAGGGGAGATCCAAGGAAACTAAACTCAGATCTTTGGGATCTGATCTTCGTTTTTCTAGTACAGGAGTTCTCTTCCACATATGGATGGGAGCTGCCCGCCCTCTTTCAACAGGGAGCTCTTTTGTTTCATCTGCTTAACAACTGAAACTGGGAGAGCAAGGATTGTAGTTGTTGAGCAAAGCAGTCACAATGGCCTCATGCTTAGAAACCACAGTAACTTGGAACGAAAATTCATCCCAATTGTCATAAGTCAAGAACTACCTATACTTATGGGCTGAGCTCCAAGCTTGGCGCTCAAACCAACAGCCCAACTACCAACCCGAGCTACTTATATTCAGATACATTTCTGTCTATATTTATGTCCATGATTGTCATATTGATGGATATGTATGTATAGTTCTTATAGTAGGGTCACCACATGAACTTAAACTTATTTTTCTTGCTTTATTCTGAAGTCTGAGCCTGTAACAAGCCCTTCTTTTACTTTTAATTTGGAAGAAGGGAGCATTCTCCATTGGGACGGGTTGCTTATATACTGTACATATTAGAAAGCAAAGTCTGACACTTTTTCTATGTTCTCCAAAATTTCCAAGTGGGATGATATCCTAAGAAAGCATCTGTCTATGGTTACTTTCCCCCTTCAGAACAGTAAAGACAGAGATGGCAATTGGTTTGAATTTGATCATGTCTGATGACATAGATATCAAACAGCCCCCAGGCTCCAGAGCTCGGGAAAGTTTGCCATATAATTGCTCAGACAATTCTCACTCATCTCTTCAAGTTAAAAATTGGGAAAAGGCATGCCCACTCAATAGAAATAGCATTTAGACTTCTGTACCCCCCCCCCATAGTGCTTTTATATCACTCTCTGGGCAGTTTACAATGTCAGCATTGTCAAGCAAGCACCACACTCCTTTATTGGGACTTTTTATTGAATCCTGACAAACAGCATAGTAAGGTTCTGAATAACACTGAGAATATTCTGTCAGTATGGCTATTTATTGGCTTAACCTAGTCATTCTTTTTGTCTTTTTCTAATAGGTGATAAAAATAAAATTCAAAAACTGGTTCAGATGGCATGGACTTTTGTAAATGACAGGTAAGACATCACTCCTCCATCTTCAGTCATATGTTATAAGCATTTTGTTCATTCTGTTGCAGATTCCAGACATCATTTTCCTCAGTACTTAAAAATATTTTAGTGAACCCAGTGACTTCTTAGTCACAAATTGTTTATGTGCTTTGGAATGTGTTAATTTAATGGAGTCCTTTGCACAAATCGCAATCTCTGGAAATAGCTATCTGCTCCTTTTCTACAAAGAGATGAAAGGTCAACAGAAAGTGAAAAAAGATGCATCAGAAATAATGGATTCTTCCATCACCTTTGGATCTAGTTCTGTCAACTGCTAGCTTCAACTCCTTATGTGTATGTCTGAGGTCTTTATTAATACATAAACAATATCCTTAGACATAGGTAGCCTGTTACAGAGCATTTCAAACACCTTTTTTCAAAAATGACATGCCAAACTTTGTGTGGCACATCAATCAACAACTATTCTTGAAAGCATATCCCATTGTTATGTGCTGTTCCTGTATTCTGTGTGAGAATAGAATGTGCTCTTGTGTGGCCTCCGAAAGTTGCACAAAGGGGTTGTGTTGTCACATGACCTTGGGAGCCTCCAAAATTCTGACAATGGGGCATGCTTTTACGTGATTTTTGGAGGCTGTAAATGAGAATGGGATGTATTTATGCAGCCTCTGGAAGTCAAATGGAAGGACCATGCTCTCATGCAAACACTATAGAGATTCCACAAATTAAGTGAGAATGGGACTTGTTTACACATGATTTTGAGAAGCTTCCAAGACTATCAAAATGCATTCTCCAATGTAGCTTCAAAAATGAAGGTTTCTTGCAATATCTGTACATACTGCCCATAGTGTTTTACAGCACTCTCTGGGTGGGTTACAATGCAAGCATAACGCCCCCAGTAATCTGGGTCCTCATTTTACTGACCTTGAAAGGATGGAAGGCTGAATCAACCTTGAACCCCGTCAGGATCAAGTTCCAGGCTGTAGACAAGAGTTTGCTTGTAATACTGCATTCTAACATCTCCCAAGTCTGGAGTCTGTAGAATTTGTCAGGTTTGGTTGAGGAAGAAAAGGCTCAGGCACATTCCTAAGAAGTTGAATGAGTTTGGGGACCATCTGGATGCAGAGAATTTCCATCTTTGGATGTAGTCTCAAAATTGAGGGTGTGCTTACAGTCAGTCAAAATTGTGTTCTCCCGCCTGATCTGGTATTCTGTGATTTTCTTTCTTTCTTTTTTTTTTTTTTTGAAGTTTGTGTACTACACTTTCTCTGCAATGGGAACCTGAAATTATAGCAGTTGCAGTTATGTATCTAGCTGGTCGCTTGTGCAAATTTGAAATTCAAGAGTGGACCTCAAAGCCCATGTACAGAAGATGGTGGGAACAATTTGTACAAGATGTACCTGTTGATGTCCTGGAAGGTACCTGAAATATTTCCAACCTAATACATTTTGTTTTTCTGATTGGTTGTATTGTTTGCACCTTTTCTACCCTATATAAATTGTAGTTTATCCTGACTAGAGTATAAAGTGTTCTTCATATTCTTGTTTTGAAACTGCATGAAAAAAGGTTAGTTTAATTTACTTCCATCAAATATTTATGTAAAATTATATTAGTCATAAAATTATTTGTATCAGTGTTGGAAATGAAGCCAACCCCAGAACTAGGGGTCCTTTCCTGCCCCTTTTATGTATTGAAGTCAAGATAATAATAGTAATTTATAATTAAATATAAATAGGTCCTTAAATAAAACTGCATGTTTAAAAAGAGGCAATTATTTCTATATTTTTTAATCTGAATGTTCAGTTTATCATCTTCAAAATGTGTTTTGAAAGCAGGTACTTGAAACTAATTTTGCTTTGGATAAAAGGCCCTTTGCCTTTCCAGAGAATCTTAAGATAAACCACTTTGAACAATTTTCAAATGTTGATTGTAAAAATCGTGGCAAGGGTGTAGAGATAGTTCTCAAAGACCCTAATGACATAGAGTCCATGTTGTAGTTTATGAGAGAGGAGGAGGAGAGAGAGAGAATCCCCCTGTTTGAAATCAGTTTTGCCCGATGAACTTGCAGATATTTTTTTTCTTTAGTTTTTGTCTCAAGCAGAGCTAAGAAAATGCACTAAAACTAACCTTTGGATTTTTGGTAAAAACTATCAAGATTAAATAAATCTGGTGTGACTTTGAATGCAATTTTTCAAGAATGCATTTGGCTGATGGTTAAAATGTATAACTTCTCTAATTCTCTTTCCCCCTCTTCCCTAGATATCTGCCATCAGATTCTGGATCTGTACTCCCAGGGGAAACAACAAATGCCTCACCATACCCCCCATCAACTGCAGCAGCCTCCTTCCCTCCAGCCTACACCACAAGTGCCTCCAGCCCAGCAGCCACAGCCTTCTCAGAGTTCAGAGCAGTCTCAACCCCAGCAGTCCAAAGACTCCCAACAGGGAGGGACGCAGCAGCAGCAGCAGCAGCAACAGCCACCACAAATTCAGCCGCCACAAATTCAGCAACCCAAAAAACCCTCTCCCCAGTCAAGTCCTCCCAGGCAGACAAAGCGACCTGTGGTAAGAATGACAGAAATAATGCTTTGTGTTACAAAATGTGATGGATCTGTTCTTCTTATCTATATTTGTCAAGGGGTTCTGTACTGCATTTTAGTACAGAGTCCAGAAATTTGATGACTCAGATTTATTGCTAATAAAGCACTACTAAAAGATGCTGAATGTTGGAGGAAAAATACTTTTTTCTGCAGCCTAAGAAAGTATGAATTGGAATGGACGTGAGTACAGTACTAAATAAGCATAAATGATACAACATGCCTGGAACCTCAGACACTGGAAGGCTGAAGTCTTTAGCGGTTGTTACCAGTATAAAATGATGATAAATTTTGTTTCTAGTTATATTATTTATTAAAAAAAATTAGATCCCAATCTTCCATATCGGTTCTTGAATGCAAGGATAAGGCTATTCCCCTGACTTATAATATTTGCAGCCCAGATGTGGCTTGGAGTGGTTTTTCTTTCCAGTGCTTTTAATGGTGGTATTGTGATTTTAATAGTACTATTGATTTGTTTTTTTCTTAGCAAGCTGTATCACCAAAAGACGAAACCAAACTTGCAGGTAAAATACTTTTTTTGTATAATTAAAAAAGCTAGTTATTTACAATACATTACTATGCGTGTCTACTCTCAAGTAAATACCATTATCATTAAACTCTATAATTAAATTATTAGTTTCATTATTTTTTAAAGCAAGTTTTTTTGCTATTTTTTAAGCTTTTAAATGAAATATAATCTTGTTTTGTTTTCAGAGGTGCCTCCTAAAATTGCTAAAATTGAAACTGCTCACCCACCAGTACCATCTGTGCATCCACCACCTGGTAAGTTCTACTGTGAGGTAGAAAACACTTTGTTTAATAGAAAGCTAAAGATTTGTTTGTTGTGTAACTTTCTGAAAACTATAATTACGTGCTTATCAATAACCCTGAGTTGTCAGCCTAAACTCAGCTGTATCCTGTATATCTGTCTGTTCTACCATTTGGAAATAAAATTTAGAAATTGGGAACTCCACCTGTTGCCTTGGTTTCATGTTGATTTCTGAGAATTAATATAGGATGTTAAGAAGCATTGCAGCATTTGAGCTTAGAGCAGAATCTTCTTCCCCTTTGTGTGGGGAAATATTTTGGCCCTTGGTATTAATACGGCCTTAATATTTACTGAGCAGAATAGGGCCTTAAAGGACTATTGAAAGCAAATTTTGTTTTTCGACTATATTTTGTTGGAAAATAATAACAAGAAAAGGCAGGCAGTACAGATCTTCCTATCATAATTCTGTTTCTTAAATATAATGTATCCTTCCTATACAAATATTGAAGATTCTGCACAAATTATAAATTATGTATAAACTTACTTGCTATATTTTACTGCTTTCTGTATATGTTCATCAATTACTGGAATTATGAGAGTGTGCAACTGAGATAAAACCTGTTCGTATTTCTTTGATAAATTCTACAATTATTCTGTATCAGGGATGAGAAATTTTTGATAGCAAGTACTGCTGCATGATTTTGCATGATGTCACAAATACCTCTTTTAAATATTAAAAATAGCCAATGTAAGATATTGGAGAAAAGCCAAATGTTGAAAAATCTCATCTGTAAATCCCATCTTGTGCATGCGCCATTGCAAAGTTTTTGGTCCTAGTGATAAACATTAACTCAGCTGCTACGTTTTTAGTCTAAACTTGGCATTAGCAAATTGCCCGAATTTTAAGGAAATTAGTTAAGGAATAATTGAAGTGACAATATTTATTATTTTTCTAGACTTTCTGTTGCAAATATTTCAATATATTTAAAGTTTGGCTATGAAATGCTTGTGTAAATTAGGATATCCAGATGCATCCAAGATCTCCAATGATGCCTTTTTGACATCTCCTTTTGCATCCAACATATTCCCAGATTTTGAAAATATTGTCACAGAAGCTTTAATTTTATGAAAGGGGAAGTTGCTATACTGTAAAGCAAGGCATCGGTAACTCAGTATCATTTTTACTTCAGAGAATGCTATAGATTTTTTAGAAAATAAAAAGTTGCTGCTACAGTCCAGTGTTTTGTTTGGCTACTTGTCCAGAGGATAAATGTAAGAAAAAATGGAAGTGTCTTGCAAACAGTTGGGCTGGGGAGACTGACAGATAGCATTTTGGTAATCAATGCCTTATAATTAGTTATTCCGCCTCCCCCCATCACAACAGTTTTTCAGGAACATCTTCAAAGAATTCCAAATGTATCCTTCAGCCCAACTGATAGGGACTGCTCACTGGCATACAACTTTCTCTTACATTCTTCAGTATTCAGAGTAAAGTCAAACATATCTTTTATTAGTTTGATATTCCTTTTCTAATTTGGGACTATCTTTCGTTGATGTAATATATTATCTTGGTCATGTTTTTTTCCCCTTCTCAAAATTGCAAGGGATCAAATTTTGGCTTCAGAATCTTCTGTTATCTGATGCTTCACCAATTGTGTTTCATATGAAGACTTTAATTATTCTAAAATCTTTTGACTTTATATAGTAACGTACATATTTTCTACTGTTTTTCAGAACATAAACCTCCATTGACAAGTACAATTTCCATAGGAACTGATCAAGCTACGGCAGTAGATTCTGTAGATATAACCAAGGTCCAGATTGTTCCACCATCTCATCCAGCTCCTGTACATCAGCCACCACCTATGCCTCATCGCCCCCCACCCCCACCCCCGCCTTCCAGCTACATAACCGGTATGTCCACTACTAATTCATACATGTCAGGCGAAGGATATCAGTCTCTTCAATCAATTATGAAAACAGAAGCACCAACTTATGGAGCTTTACCACCCACTTATGGACCGCCAACTCATTTGCCATATCATCCTCATGTTTATCCACCCAATCCTCCTCCTCCTGTCCCTCCTCCCCCACCCACATCATTCCCTCCACCCTCCATTCCTCCTCCTACTCCAGGATATCCTCCACCTCCTACTTACAACCCAAATTTCCCACCTCCTCGGTTACCTCCCTCTCATGCAGTTCCACCTCATCCCCCTCCAGGACTTGGCATGCCACCTGCAAGTTATCCTCCTCCGACAGTGCCCCCTGGTGGACAGCCACCTGTACCACCTCCAATACCACCTCCTGGCATGCCACCTGTTGGAGGACTTGGCCGGGCCACTTGGATGAGATAGCAGTTGTACATAGCATTGCTTTTATCTTGAGCAAGGTGAAAAATATTATAATCAGATGAGGCTGCTGTTTGGAAATATAGAGGGAAATGATACTGGTTTGGTTACAGTTTGATCAGCAGAAAACAATAAAATGTAAATAGTTTTGTTGATTGCAACGCTGAATTACTTTGCGGTAATAATATGTTTTGAACGCCACATTGGCTGAGTTGTATTGGTAAGCAGAAAAAAATAGAAAAGTACATGCCTACTTGAATATCAGGATTTCAAGATGAAAGGGGGAAAAGTCCTTTTTGATTTCATTACATAACGTTCCTGCAAAACTTTGCTCTAAATTGCAAGAACAATTTATTTTATGCCTCTCTGCATATATGTGTGAATACATACAACCCCACTTTCTGCCATTGTTATTTTGAAATGAAAGTTGATTTAATTTGAAAATTTCTATACATATATTTTCAAAATGTAAAAAAATCTCTATGGGATACAATGATTTACACCTTTGTTGTTTCTGATTCTTGAAAAAACTGTGTTGACATGTATCTAAATAAACCCGCTTCTGAAAGCTGAAATTTTCTCACTACTATTCAGTGCCAATGACTTTCTTTTATTCCCCATGCCAACGTCCCCATCTAAATGAGGTACCCAACTTGGTAATACATGTTTTCTCCAAACAATTTCTGTATCTAATTTCTAATTTTTTTGCATTTACTTTTGCCCTTATACTACTGTTACATGCATATTTACCTGACAGTATTCACTATGTGTAGAGAGATGAATAAATTTATTTAGCATTACATATTATATGATTGAAAAGGAGAAATATTGATCAAACAGAACTGGAGGATGGCTTACATTTCTCCATCTAATTTTAGCTTAATGTTAAAATATACATATAATGAATGAATGAATCACAGATTTAATTAAAATTGTAATTTTATGTTGATTTCTAAGTATTTTAATATTTTTCAACTTCTCAAAAATACAGTCATTACAGCTCCCTTACAAAGAATGTATTTTATTATCTTCAATGGAATGCATACACTACCACAAACCCTTAATTTTTACTAAAATATTTCAAATGAAGGTTTTACACACTTAAAAAGTCTTTAAATTTTCACCCCCCCTGCCACAAAAGCAGTGCTTCAGTAAAAGGTATAAATGTGTGCTAAAATCTAAAGACATTGCTTATACACTATACATGAGCACAGGTTCTAATTTACTTTTTCCAATCATATATAGAAAATATGGCAGGGTTGTAAGATCACAGGTTTAACAGAAATCATAATTTCATACTTATTTCCAAAAGCAGCACAAATAGACTCTTTCCCTACATTATGAAAAATATACAATTTTATCACTTTACAGTCATGCGCTTTGAAAAACAAAATCAGTACTTTTTTCTCTATTCCAGTTTCTAAAAAGGTAAAAGGTCACTTTAAAACATTGTTTATTTTTAATTGCTATCTTTTGGGTAAACATTTACCTTTTAAACAAGTTTATGTTCTTTTACCAAAAAGGGCAAAGTGCACCTGGATTTTATCCAATTGCCATATGCTTTTTCCCTAAGAAAAGCAATCAATTGCTTAAAAATAGAGCAGTCGGAAGGGGAAGAACCAAACAACAGGAATTTTGTTTTGAAGTTGGTTTAGACTGAATGCTTCTACATTGTAGGAGTATAAAAATTTTTATGAAGCAGGTAGTTAATGAACGTTATTAAACGGGGGTGGAAAAATGAATATTACTACTCCAGCATTGTATTTCAACTTACATTTCCGTCTACATTAATATTCAGAGTGCATTTTTTTCCTTTTGAAATTATTCATGTTTAACATATCAGTCATACACTATTAAACAGCCTTCTCTAAGCTGTTTTCCCTGGAGATGATGGGAACTTTTTATGTAATTTATCTGGAAGGTGAAGTAGATTATAAAGTTATACTGTAAAGTAAACTATTGTCCAAGGAAAACAATTTTAGCTTATTTCAAGCTAAATATAAAATAGCAATTAAAAAATACACGTAGCACTATATCTGTAGAGTCTACAGTTTGTAATTTGCATATATTTGGAAGTACTTTGCATTTTCATCTACAAAAACTTCACTTAATACCATATTGGAGTTAGAAATCTGGAGGACTTCACAATTTGTGTTATTTGTATGGGTTTGGTTCCATAAACATGTAATTTTCACTTTAGTATATTACTAAATATTGAGTACCTTTCATTTTATTTTGGCATGTTGGGTCACTTCACCTTGGTTTTGATTTCCCTGTTGTGTTCAAGGCATATGAATGCTTTTGAAATAAATTAAAATTCAGATTTTTTTTTCTTCAGCTTTTAGGTTCCCCAGTTGGTTGGCATAAGTCTACTAAAATAATAGATTGAGCTGCTATGCCTGTTATATACTCAAGTACACGAAGCCACTCATCGTTATTATAATTAGTCATATAGCCAACCAGATACTTAGACTGGATTTGGCATTTTTGCCAACCTATTGAGTATTATTTCTTCATCTGGATTGTACCTGCACCTCATAATCATATAGGAATCTGTTCAGGAAATATACAACAGAATTTAAAAAATCCAGCACCTAAAAGAATGTCTACTATCCTTTTCATCTTACATCATTCCTCTATGGAACTCAAAAGCAGCATGTATGAAGTTCCCAAGACAGACTCCCAGGCAGGCACCAATCACATATGTATTCAGGCCAGATCTTGATTTTGGCATAACATAATATGAATTATGAACCCAACTATTGAGATATGTAAACCATGATTTATTGCTTCATGTGTGAAGCCAGTTTATTCAATAAGCAAACATAACTTTTGTTTCAGAACATGAATTTTCCTCTCGACTTAAAAATACTGTTGCTGTTTTAGAGGCCTGTCCCAGCCATCATTAACATGATTCAACAAATAGAACAATCAAACCAATATAAATCTTAAAAATATTGGAATGAACTCTGAAAGGATATAGAACAGAAGAGAAGCTGATAACTAACTAAGTAATAATAGCACTTATAACTTTTGTTAAGTTATAATAAGCATTTTCCATGAAATACATGAAAAAAGCTTATAACTTACTGTAACAAAATACCAAGTTATCAGCAAAATGTTCCAGTAAATTATGGGGAATTTTTTTGTACATGATGCATATAATCAACCTGTTTTCTGACAGACTTATTTTTGCAAAAAAATGTGATCCATTAGCACTAATGAGAATACTTGAATGGCCACTATAGGGAATAATGTTTATTTTCAAATGTCAGAAATTCAGCTGCTTTTAATTCAGCTAAATCAAAATATACATGTCCTAACTTCAATTAGTTATATACAAAGAAGAATATGTGAAGGTTGCTGTGTAATGCATGAACTTCTTAAATTGTAGTAACCTATTGAAAGACCTTGGTGGGAAATAGAACCTCGAGCAGAGAAATTGTATACATCAACTTTGTTTACCAGTGTTTGCTGTAGTAATAGGATTAGAGTAAGGAACCATGTAGTTAGGCACATTGAAGGCCACCACAACTCACTGCACTTTTGTGGCATAGGACTACCCTTGTTTCTAAGCATTTGGGTACTTTAATTATTCCATTGCATTTTAGAAGACAAATATAATTTGTATACTGCAAACCAACTATTGGTTGTTGGACCACTTCTGATCATCTAAAAACTTTTAATAGCTCACCTAAATTATCTGATAACATTCACATTAATCATAGATCCTTGAAAACTCGATTTGTTCAAATTCTAAGTTTGTATTTTAAATTACTTAAGGAACAGGGAGGTTTTCACTGATACCTAATGAGACAAAATGAGAAAGAGGAAGTTCACAATTTGCTCCTTAGAGTACCAAGTGGTTGGGATCACAAAAAACTCTCAAAGTGGCTCAATATCTAGGTATAGGATAAACTTGCAAAACCAAAAAGACAAGCTGTAATGAGAAGGAATAAAGTTGATCAGATAAAATAAATCTGAATTAGGGCAGAATCTGTAAGTTCAGAAATCACCTCAGACAGGAGCCTTCCTAGTTCTCACAAAGATAAAGGAAGGAAAATGAAAATCTATTCAGCCTTGCAAGTCTTAGTTACTGTAACCTTATAATACAATTAGCGTTCAAAATTCTGGTTTCCTAATCTTACCCTACCTTGAAGGGTTGACACAGACAGAAAGAGGTCAAGAAGAAAAGAATACAGTCTTTCTGAAAGGAGTACTTGAGAGAGATACTGAAAATTGAGCAGTGGACTATCTAGGCGAGTTCTTAATGAAAAAAATATTGAAAATAAAGAGAATTCAGTAAAAAATATATCCAAATAAACAAACAATAGTAAGTCTATGAAACCAGATTGCCAAAGGTGAAGTAGCATATTGAAATTCCACATTTCTACACAAGCAGCATTTAATTTACAGTTTTCTCTTTGTCAAATGATCCAGTGGCCAGTTAGGTGTTGCACTATATGGTTTTAGGAAATTTACAATTATCAGATGAAATGTGATTGGAAGAAAATGATTACAGTTCAAAATAAACAAAATTGATTTGTTTGATCAGCAGCAGCAGCAGCAGCATGAATTCTCATGACTTCCTGATGTAACTTAAAAGGATTCTTCTTCTATATCTTTTCCAAATACTGTAACCAGTTCTGTATTCTCCCACTTATTTCTAAGATACCATGTCAATGTTATTTTACATAAGGAAGCATGTTTTTTTTTAATTTAATATATTAAAAAGACAAGGCCAAAAGACACATTGCAGGAACTGTTTTACATATTTTTCGAATGTGGAGTTAAAGTCAGCATCTTTAGCAACAGTGTGAAAATTTGCAGAGCACTCATTTAGTCATGTGTTGTTCTGCCTACTGCCTTCTCAGGGAATATCTTATCTAAGAACAGGCCAAAATCCGTAATTGGTATTGACGAGGCTCATGTGCTTCTAGTAACTGGGTAGAAAAATTGTCAATGCCAGGAATAGGTTTTGGCCAGCTCTTAAACAGTGGCCATGAGCTCACCTCTCTTTTTCCTCTTCATTGGTCATTTACTTATTCCTGTGGAGTGTATTTGTATCCTTTCTCAGAAAGACAGGAAGGATGAAGTATGCAGAGATGCTCATTTCTTTCTACTCTTCCTCCAATGAGAGGTAATCAGGCAGAAGCAGCAAAGAAGCAGTGAGAACATTAAGGTGCAAGACGAATGATGCTGAGAAAGTAGCTCAAGACTGAGATTTGCTATTACTACAGTATCACCCAGACTGTATCACTAAAAAGTAGTGACTGACCAAGTTAAAGGCTGCCTAACCATTACACATTATGGTTTGTCAGATTCTTGACAATCTAGCATATGTGTTGCTAGAATATTCAAAGTATAGCCAGATAAAAGTTGCCTGCACCTCAGACTTGTCCTTCAAAAATAAAATCTAACCCTACAATCTGGCAAAACTTCCCTCAACAGACTTGAACAATGACTAATTTAGGTCCTTGTGAATTCCTTGGTATTTTCTAAAAAGAGAAGCCTTTCTCAGGAAAGTGCCCTACAGCTGCAACTCCAATAATTTCTAGTCATCATGCCAGGTTTGGTGGGAGTTGCTGCCAAATTGGGGAAGACTGCTTTGGGCAGCCACTACTGCCATGCAATTCCATGAGTAGGCTAATATAAGGCAGTGGAACTGCTCAGAGTTGTATTTATTATATATACATATATCAAGTTTTCGTGGGTACTTACATGTATGGTATTCAGCTTTGTTCAGGTATTTTCCCACGTCATTATAGTTGTGCTTTTAAAGTTGTAGCAATGTTTCGGCAGAATCTCATCTGCCATCACCAGGCTTCTGTATTGTGTTTGTATATAATCACTATAATGACGTGGGAAAATACCCGAACAAAGCTGAATACCATACATGTAACTTAAGAAAACTTAAGAATATATATATATATATATTTCTACCTAGAAATCATTGGGAATCAAGAATGTATATATGACCATACAGGAAAGTGGGGATTTCATTACAATACAAATGACAAGAGATTGGTCACGAGAGGGTAGTCATTAACTCATGTATCATTGTTCTGGATCAGGACAGCCCACAAACTAGGCCTTTAGCTGCCTTATTTACACTATGGACACAGTTAAAGGAAATGGGAAGAAGGGGTAATGCTGGCAGCCAGAAGCAAGGAAGTTTCTTTGCCTCAGATTCTTTTCACTTGTAGTCTTGCCGCTTGAGGTGCTTATAAAGGACCCTTGAATTGGTTTCCTGAAAGATGTTGTCTGATTGATGGTTTGGAGCTTGCTGCATCACCTAGTTTTCGCCAGACAACCTAAGAACAAGAAAAAAGACAAAAGTACAATTTGTAAACAGGAATCAAGTTTTCCAGAAACAACTGCCGGAAAATCTGCAGCTATTGAGGTCTGGTAAATACCATGTTGTTACACTAGGAGGCATCCAGGTCCTAACATAGTTTTTAGTCTTCAGGGTTTTTTAAGTAGTAATTTTATTCAACATTACTATTAAAAAAGAACGAATACAAACTTTAAAAAATTAAAAATAAGTAAAAATAAAAAGTGCAAAAAATATAGTAAAGAGAGAAATATATAAATAAAGTACTTCTCTTCATAACAATTATAAACAATTTTCACTGTAACTTAACCTCCTCTGTTAAAAACAAGAAATTATTTTCTCATATCTCATCCCTTATCGATAAAGAAATCTTTAAAGCCTTGTTTTTCAATTTGAGTCAGCAAAATTCACCAAAGCTTACCAGAGATAACATATCTATTTTAAACTTGACCAAATAAAACAACTTCATATTCATTTAGTTTATTTTCATATTTATTTATTTCCATGGTATGCATGCATAATCAGGTATCCTCACAAACCACCGGTTGTCCCTGAAAGATAGGTTGGGAACCATGTGGGTCAAAGCTCACATGTGGAGAATTTAAATATCCCTAGGTTCCAGACACATCTGGCTAGACAATGTTCCTGTGCTCAGTAAATCCATTCCAAAAGACAACAATAAACAAGGAAATGTCAGCATCATTCCTGCCAAATAGTTTGTTGTAATGACTTTCAGTTAACATACTTGTTTTAAAGAAGTTGAGCAAAGGAAACTTGTTAAGGTGTGGCACATTCCATTCATTTGAAATGATAGTTTTGGTAGTTGTGTAAGTAACGTATTCTTCAGTTCTTCATATCCTTAATGGGATTAAATACAGTACAGTACTTGCAAGAATGCTAATACTGTGCACTGCTCTTGAAAATTGCTTTGCTTTAATGGAGGGCTCTCAGAGAACTTTTTGGAGACTGTCTTTGAATATATTTTGCTCTGCAAAGCAAGGAATAAGCATTTTTTTACACAGCATGTGTAAAAAAAAAAACAGTTTTGTGCACATTGTTTTTGCTCCTGGCTCTGTTCCATGACACTGACATTTCACAAAGTTACAGTACTCACATCCTACAAGTGTTAGTCATTTCCCTATCAACAGTGTCTTGTTTTCTTTAATTCCAGTAGGACAGGACAAGTCTCCAGTATAATGGTTTCTATGAGTGATCACCAGCATTGTGTGCTTATGCCATTTCTGAAAAGCACACCCATGATATAGTAGTTGACGAAAAAGGGGACAATCTAAATAACTTACATTAAATCTTACCCAGGCTTTCTCAGGGTTGGACACAATGGGACTTATTTCCAAATCAAGAGGCAGAACATTGAGCAGATTGCTACAATCCTATGTACTTCACCTAGGGACAAGTTCCTTTTTTTTTGCAGCTAGGCTTGAAATTGTACGCATCCCTTTAAAAAAAAAGGTGTGTTTGTCTTTTAAAACACACTCCTTTGTCCTTTTTTAATAGAAAAAGGACCACTTTTACATTTCACAAGCAATTTGATATGTTTGATTTTGGATCATTAAGGGATTACAGTGCAAAATTTTAGCCTATACACATACTGCTTGTTATACAACCACAATAGGGAGCAGCAAATTTATTGTTAAGCTGCAGTCACTAAGTGAGGTAAATGTTACTGCATCTGATTTTACAGGTTTTTTGTTTTTTTTTTGCCATAGTCATTAAACAAGACATGCAATTGGCAACTTGCTACCTTCTCTGCCAGCTTCCTCATTGGCTTTGCTTGTCAGAAGCCAGCTGGGAAAGTTGTAAATGGCGCTCATGCGATCACCATACACTAAACCATCATAATGCACTACAGTTTCGGAGTGCCCAAATCATGACCATGAGACTACAAGGAGGCTGCCATGGTTGTGTGTGAAGACCGATTATAAGTTGCTTTTTTCAGTGCTATTGTAACTTTGGATGATCACTAAACAAATGATTTTAAGTGGAAGACTACCTATAGAGCAGGGGTCTCCAATCTTGGCAACTTTACGCCTGGAGGACTTCAACTCCCAGTCCTACCCGTCAATGAATACTTCAGCTTCAACCATAACAACACAAGAGCACACAATAGATGCAAACTCAAGGTAAAGCACACTAAACTTGATTGCAGGAAATACGACTTCAGCAACAGAGTGGTCAATGTCTGGAATACACTAGCTGACTCCGTGGTTTCCTTCCCAAACCCCCAAAACTTTAACCTTAGACTGTCTACTATTGACCTCACCCCTTTCCTAAGAGGTCTGTAGGGGGCGTGCATAAGTGCACCAATGTGCCTACCATCCTTGTCCTAATGTTTCTTTTTATTCATATCCATTTCATGTATTCATAATCATGTTTATATTTATACCTGTTATCTAATACTTGCTTGACAAAGAAAAAAAGAAAGAAAGAAAGAAAGAAAGAAAGAAAGAAAGAAAGAAAGAAAGAAAGAAAGAAAGAAAGAAAGAAAGA